ATTCTATTTAATCTCATCATTCAACTTATCTAATCACAAACTAATCACAAAATTGAAGATTTCCGCCCATATGATAATTGGGTAATTTCAACTCCAGTGTCGCCATAAATTTTTAATTCCTTAATAAAAACATGCCATTGGTTTGTGTTACAAGATCAAAAAGTCAGAAGATTTGAATTTATAATCATGATCATAACTATATCATTAGATGCTTTAAAACATGTAAAAAGTCACTTTAAAGCAATATAAAACTGATTTAAAACATTCTGTTTTAAATCATTTGCCATCCCTTAGGTGCAGACCTTTTTTTTTCATAGAGTTGCTCTGGTTGGTTAAAATTCAAAATCCGAATTTTCATTTAACCACTTACGTAATTTATCGCAATAATTTGAGAACATCCGCTCACTAGCTAATCACATTGATGGTGCTGCTTGAGAACACCCTGTGTTCAGTACAAACTTGAAAGCCCGATGTTAGATTTTTCCTTGGCGGCACTCATGATTTTTTTTTATCTAACATGAGTGTAATGTAAAATACTATTTCCGATGGATTACAGTAGCAATCCTGATGGGGTTTAAAAAAAATTTAAGTACTGTTCCTAATATGGTTCTAAGATTGAATCTTAATCCTAAGTTTTTTCCATATAATTCACTATAATAGTAGAATTAGTCAATCGATGTAAAGGAAAAAAGAATTAATAACCAAATTCTTAAATTATCCTCATTTGAAAAAGGAAAATTAGGTAAAAAAGAGCATAATTTAAATAAGAATGTTAAACAATCTACAAAATTGAAAGAACAAAATATTGGTCATTCTACTTAATTATAATAAATTTTTATATGGTATTCACTATTTTTATTTTTAAGAATTGAATATCTTCGTTTTTATATAGTTATTTGTTTTAATAAACGTAATATCAAAACCCTTTGGATTATAGAATGAAATTGTTATATAAAATAAAATTTGCATAAATATCTTTATTAGAACGTTGAGAGCAGTTTATTTAGAAAAACCGAGTTATGCAATTATTTTTAACAATCTCGGATTAACTCTAAGATAATATTATCAAATTTAGGCATAACATACAATAATGCATTTAAGTGGTATTTGAAATTTGCAAAAGGTGGCAATTCTTATGGAAACTTGATAACGCAATGGAAATGACACAAAGACGAAAATAAGGAATATAAGTGGTATTTGAGATTAGTTGAAGGTGACAAATCGAGTGGACAGAATTGGATTGTTCTACCACTATGGTAGATAGAGTGCTGATCAAAATTCCAACAAGTTTTCCCGTATTAGATTATCATTAGCTATAATTCCAGTTAATTTTTTTCGAGATTCTATTTATTAGGTTTTATTCAACACCTATAAACATAACCAAAGACGAAATAAAACAATTTGATTTGTAACATTTTGATATCAACTATATCATTTGAGTTTACAACAGTGTATTTAGGTAAATAGACGCATTTAGCCACAAATGGTAATTCTTTCATGAAAATTCCCTTGAATATTCTTTAAAGTTGAACAGAATCTAACTGAATTGCATTAACTATGACACAAAGAATACTTATCCATATCGTAAACTGTCAGCATAAAAATGGCATAACTTCTCCATAAAGATGGCAACAGGATATCCGGACTTATTTACGCCAACATACGTACAGTACGTACGTACGTGTAGTAGCTGCTGAAATGTTATACAGAAAACAACAAAATTTAACACAAAATGATAATCTATATCATGAATAAATACTGCCTCTTTTCTTAGAATAATTAATCCACATGTTTGTTCAATTTTACAAATTAGGATTTAAAAAAAAGAGGCTTAGAGCAAAACAATCATAGTTATGTTTTTTTCTGTGAACCGTTACAAATTTTTAGAATATTCGGAAATATAAACTTTATGTAACGCAAATCTGTATCATCCACATGGATTTCCTTAAATGGTAAAAGCTAAATTACTTTCTATAAAAGGTGATTATACCCGTTCTTGCGAAGCAATTTTCTAATAGTTCTTAGATTGTTGTTATTGTTAAACACGTATAGCTATAAATAAGACACCTCAACATCAAGAAAATATATTTTTTTCAAGTCCATTTATTCGAACTCTTGCAATGAAGCATATGTTAAGATTTTTACTGATCCTAATAATTGCGACGGTTTTTAAGACTGTCGCGGTGAGCATAAATAAGAATTTAGTGATTCGTTCTGCAACGCCAACCGGTGATACAACATGGGACAATTGGAATGGACAAGTTCATGTCACTCCAAGTGACATTTTTAAACCATCTACACTTGATGACCTTGTAGACATCGTGAAATTAGCAAAGCAAAATAATAAAACTATCCGATGTGCTGCCCAAGGACATAGTGTAAGTAATCTATCTTACACAAAGAACTATCTGGTGATAGTTACAGACTTAACTCAGGTCACTGTTCAAAAAAATCCAAAATGTGGCTGGACTGTTACTGCTGAAGCGGGTAAATGCTTTATACGCATAGATTCTATATATAAATTCATTCGTGACAAATATTATAAAAGAATGAATCTTTTTAGGTACGCCATTATCGAAACTTGATGATGTACTTCGAAAACATAATCCGCCATTAACTCTCGATTCGGAAACTGTATTTGACTCATTTCGAGTATCAGGTGTTGTTGCAGTAGGTGCACATGGTGCAAAGACCAGTTCAGGTATTATGTCAGATCAACTCGTTTCGATGAAAATTGTTACTGCCTGTGGCGAAATAGTCGAATTTAGTGAAGAAAAAGATAAACAAGAATTTAATGCTGCGAAAGTAAACTTAGGTAACTATAAGCTTATGCCTTTTAATTATTTATTCATTCTTTAGTATTTTTCTTTAGTTAATTTTATAATTGTATAGGATTACTTGGAATAATCTATTCGTTGACTTTCCGTGCCCAACCGATGTACAATCTACGCATGACTGACACCCTTTATCCAGCAATTGAATGGATTAAACCACAAAATATTAAAAATCTTTTAAAAACATCTGATGGAATTGAAATACTTTATTGGCCATTCAATGGATTTAATCAGAGTGATCAAATTCCTCTTGACATACACAGAGATTTAATTTGGGTTAAAAATTGGGTACGAACTAAAGAACCTGTGACTTTATCACCAGAAGCGCTCGAACAATTACGTTACAACCAAACTCAAGGTCTTATTCAACAGTATATGACTATAAGTAACTACCTACTACCAAATCCTGAATTTACACCAAATATTACTGCTACTATATGGGATGCTGGCATTGGTCAGGCTGGTAACACTAGTATGGTATTTCAGGCTCCTGATGCTTTCCATTACATACCTGCAGAAGAAAGTGTTAAGTTTAATCTATGGGAAATTGGATTCAAAGTTGATCCGGATTTTACCAATGTTGCCACCGAAATTTCTTTCATAATCAAGACAGTAAGTTTTATTATTATATTTAAATTCTGTTAATTTATTTACCTTTATTGCTCTTTTATATGACATTATATTTGCAGTTATATGAATTGGCAGGAAAAGGAAAATTTCCAATAAATTATATTGCAGATTTTAGAATCATAAAATCAACCGAGGCTTTATTTTCTACTACTTTTAATAATGATAAAAACGCATTGTATTGCCAAATGGATCTCGAAACAGTTTATGGTACACCTGACTGGGAAGAACTTATAAAATTATTAGGGCAAAGATATTTTAATAAAAATTATAACGCAAAGTAAGACTTTTATTAATATTTTTATTATGATTACTATTTTGCAGCTACACGTATTTGAATTAGCTCACTTATAATTTTATATCATATTAACTTGTTTATTAAAGGCCTCATTGGGGAAAAGAATGGGAAACTATTCCGGGCATTATACCTTATCTTTCTAAAACCTTAAAAGAACCGATTAAGCAATTTGAGAAAGTACGTGCAAAGTATGACCCTAATAAGATGTTTTTCGATAATAAGTCCTTGCGAGACATATTTAAGAGTGCTTTAGGTCCAAAATGGTAAGAACCCCAAGAAAAATGAATAGAACTTTACAATATTGAGTTAGATTGAGGCCCAATTATATTAGAATTAATTGATCGAATAACATAAAGCATGAATCCATTTTTTATAATTCTAGATTTTGTTATATCGTTTGTTCATGATTAATACTGTAATAGAGTAATTTTATATGTATACAGACGAAAGTAATGGCTAATTCTTACATTATATATATATATAATTCAATGAATATTATTATCATGTCATGATTATTATTATCACTACCTTCCCCTTCTATTTCTTTTTTATTCTTATTTCTTATTTAGTTTTCCAACATATTATCCTTAGTGTTATAAATCAAATAAGGCCATTTGAATTTAAAACTTTAATGTTATTTCTGTTTTAATTTTAATTGTGGGAAATTCACAGTACGTGATCTACAAGTCGACCAATAAAATCACAAATCAATTTTTTATACTAAAATGTACAATTTTTCAATATATTTATGTCGGAAGAAATTTAAAAACTGCTTAGGCCGAAACGAAATCCCAAATTTAACCTGTTCCCAAGTTAATACGCTAAAAGCAATTTAAATTGTACCTTAAGTGGTATATCGCACTTAAAGGGTATAAATTTCATAGCAAAAATCAGCAGCGAATTACTATTTTATATAATGCTGGAATACCAAAAAGTTCCTAGCAATATGTGAAAATGTAAGTTATTCGCCATCTACAAAAGCGATTTGAATAATTCTACTATTAATAAAATCAGAATAACTCCTCTATAGTATTCGTTGGAATGTTTACTTAGTATAAAAACTTTTCATTTAAGCTAGCTGCATTAAAACCTTATAGAAAAAAATATTAACTTTTCCAAATTTATCATTATTTTTTATACCTTCAGCTATGATTTATCTATTAAAGTATATTTCATCTAATTATTATTACAAAATTACCAAAAATAAATATAAAATTCTTATTATATATTTTTTTGCTATTCTCTTTTCATATTTTTTACAACCCTTTCTATCTGATGATCAAATCTCAGGATTATCCTTTTTGTCTCATAACTAAGAACGGAAGATCTGAAAAAAAGTAAAATATTATGCGTATATTATATATTAAATAATAAAATAATGTATTTTTGAAAATTAAAATTAGACTTATAAACTAGAGACATGATCATGTAGGCGGGTTCTCCCATAATATGTTAATAGTATATTCTTATTTTATTCTGGAAAGATAATTTTCTCAAGTATTTCTGACATTGGATGTTCCGTCTTAAATTTAATGCTGTTACGCAAAATAACGGAACATAGTTAATAATTAAACTTTCCTCTGTGTGACAATTATACTTTTGTCGTGTAACATTATAATAGTTTATGCAAAGTTAATAATCATAGAGTATACTTTAATTAGACTTTATATTGTTATACTACATGTATGTAAATAGTGTATCTTATTTAGAGTCTAATTCAATATATATATAGAGCGATCTTCTTGTAAATAGGATCTAGTTAGATTTTTAGATTTTAGAGTTTTAGAAGGTTTTTAGGAAGTACTTCTTTGGGTTTTAGTTGGAACAAGGGATATTTAGAGAACTATAGTGTACCGGGTGACTGTTGGGATATATTATTCCCTGGTCACTATATCAAGATCGCAGGGTATAAATCAGTTATAGGGCACTATGTGTATAAGCGGAAATGAAATTTCCGCTTATACCCAACTGCCCAGGATATAATTATTACTTATTAGTACTTTTTGGTGCATTGTGTGTGTTAATAAATACTTGGTTTCTCATATTAATGCTTACGACCCTAAGCTAAATTGGCTCAGTGGATATAAAGTCTCTCCCCTGGTCGTAAAAACACACAAATATTTATTGTGGCTTGCGAAATAATATATCTTTGATCAAATTCATAGATCGCAACGCATACAATCATACTATCGTTGTCCGATTGAATATTTTTAAGTGCGTTTCTTCGAGAATATTTAATTATCAAAAATATGCCGAGATTTGTTCATGCTGGTATTAAGAGATGATTATACATTTGCACATTATAATATCAAGTCTGAATCTATATTGGATCTTATTTGTATATGATATGCATTATTTTTCTACAATCTATATAAAAACATTAACTGGAAAGACTAGATCTTTTCATGCTGTTAATGATTTTTTGATATTAAAGAAAAGATCAGGGATGAATTAGGTGTTCCTATTGACCAACAACGTTATTTATTTTGTGGAAAGCAGCTAGAAGATGGATACACTTTATCACATTACAATATTCAATACGAGAGTACTTTACATCTTATACTCAGACTACGTATGCACCGACAAATGAAGAAATTCGAGCGAACTAAATTGGAAGTCTTTCTACAGGTATATGGATGCTAAATGTATATATGTAAAAGAATTATTAACTTAGGTGGCATAATAAATCTATTTAGATTGGATGGGGTCAACTAATCTAGTGATTTGGTGCGTGGATAAATTATTCTTAATCCGATGTAATATTCAAATAAGTTGAACATAACCATACAGTTTATTTTAAAAAAAATAATAATTGGAAAGGAACCATATTAATATCCACAATATTTATTTCATTTGTCACCTGAAATAAAAAAAACAATTAGATTGGATAGATGTTGCTGATAAGATGCAATATGATTCAGTTCGTGAATCTGGTTATTCTGATGAAGCTGTGCAATTATTATGTCGTGCACCACAGATTTACAAAGGTATGTTACTGTATTGATTTATTTCATTCTTTAGAAGATCCTGCATTTCAAACTACTTAATTATATGTTCATAATAATATTGCTAATGTGGAAAATCTCACTGAAGGAATGACAGCCCCAAATTTTCAATAAATTTCTAAAAAAAATTAGTACTATTTCTTTAAATTCACTTTATCAACTAGGAAGACCACTTGATCTTTTTGGTGATCATATACCTGTCCTTTGCTTCGATGTATATGTCATGTATTTAATGGTATTTATAATCGCTATGAGGGCACATATAGATTTCTATATGATTCAAATTCGGGAAGCACTTGCTAGTGATGTTTGCCGATTGGTAATGTTGTAGATGTTAAAAAACATCGTTATGATACAACTGACTTAGTTGATTACTTAGATAATCTTTTGGATGGTAATGGAATTAACAAAAAGTGTAATGTTACTAAAATGTGTTCTAATCGTAAATAGTTGTTAGAAACTTGATATATACTTTATTTCTTTTTATTTTACTTATACGGTTTATTTTTATATACTTCAATTAAGGTTATACTTTTTTTTATTCTCACTGAATTATTAGATGCTAGTTTAATTTAATAATATATATATATTTATCTATTATTATTTCAACTTAACAATCAAATCACTTAAGGGTGAGGTTAAAACTTAACAGTTTGAGTTATTGGCATGAGCTGAATCACCGTCATTTCTTTTTGAACACAAGTTTTGTACATGCTTACAAATTTTAATAATGTATAAAAAGGAATCGCCAAAAATAATGCTATATGCACCACCCATTAAACCCAAAATGGTTAGGAACTAAATATTTGAATTAATATTTGACTTAAATTTAATTATTATTATCAATGTAATAATAAACAGTGAAATAGGAAAAAAAATTTACCGTTTTTGATCTTATATATGCAATCAAAAAAGATTAATATATAAAATTATATTATAATATAATAAGATAATCTTTTAAATTAAGTAACTTACAAGTATTCTTTCTAATTTCCGTAGGAGAAAATCCTTGTGTTATACTTAAGTCTCCAAAAATCGATGGATTTTGATTTGGTATACTTTCTTTATATAGATAGAGATAGAAATTTACACAGTATTAATTTTACTTGTAAACAACGAATTTAAATAAATAGGTTAATTATATACCGATACGAGTTTCAACATAATGTATATCGACCAATTTAGGAGGCAAACCCAATATATTAATAAAACTTGGTTTAATGAGCCTATTAATTTTTCTGCTGACACTTAGTAATTGAGTCTATTCATTCAATTTAAAATAATATATATTAATGATTAAAAAATAAATATAAATAATGATATTTTTAGAAACTTACTTGATTTTGGTTTAATCTATATAAATTTGCAAAATTTAATGAATTTATAAATTCAATAGCAAAATAGTTATCAGGAACGTTAGAATTCTGTGTTTCTGGATTTGGAAATATTTGAGTTTTTAGATCCGGTTTAAATACTAGAAAATATAAATATTGAGTTTTTAGATCCGGTTTAAATACTAGAAATTATAACTATTTAATAATTAAAATCACAATCTCAAATACAAGGAAATAAATGAAACAATTTCATACATTGATCATATACAAAGAAAGTTATTTTATTGGTGTTACTATTAGGTGATATGTTAATTCTGACAGAATCTGAGGAATCCGTGAAGCTAAAATTCTGTTTGTAATCAGGTTTAAAATATCCCACAAATGCGTCATCCCCGAGTTGGATCGGTTGTTCAATATATTTAGTACAGTTGGTGGAATTGAGAGTAGTTGCGTTGTTGTACGCTAAAGGTAATATAATTTTAAATTAATCGAAATTTTAAAATTAATAGAATGCAAAAAAAAAGAACAATTCGCCAATAACATACTGCAATTTATGGCGAATAATTCGTTGCCACTAAATATAACGGCTGTTATATAAGTTAAAATTAACTATTAGGTGAAACTCGCAATGGAAAATATGAAACTCACAATAGAAAATAAATTTTCGAATATTCTGGCTTTACCAGGAATAATAAAGTTTTATTCTTGCTTGAATGCTATCGAAAGAGCAGGATCATTATTGACCACGAGATCACGAATTACAAATATAATGTACGCAGAAAGTAGAAGACCTCTTAGAATATTCAATATTAGATTAGATCGTTTTAATGTATCTTGTTCACCTTGAGTCATTTTTTATTAATTATCATAAATATATAATAAAAAAAGTAACTTGAAGAAATAGATTCTTTATGATTATAAATACTCATACGGAAAATAAGCAATAGAACAATTGGCTATCAATATTGTTAGCAAGTGGATCAATGAAGCACTTTTTCTTGCGAATATTAGAAAGTTAAATATATATTTAGCGAAATTTCTCGATGGGAACACAAAAATTAACCCTTGCATATCCATTTCCTTATTAACCTTTGTTAATAGGCTTTCTTCAGCAGTATGTATTGTATAAATAAATTTTAAGGGTATACTATACGAATTACTTAATATAGTTACATAGAAAGTACTTTTAGTTTAGTGATTTGATTTCTGGTTAGCATTATTGATGACTAAACCAACAAAAGGTTTTCTACCTTACCATATACAATAAAGTACTGCTGAAGAAAGCCTAGGAATAACAAAGATTAATTTATTACCTAATGATCAAAATTGTTATCGTCAAACTATTTGGGACTAGAGATGGGCACTATGCGCATTTTTAACCATGCCATGCTGCATGATGCACTGGGGTGTGCGATATACTATGTAAATCAAAACTATGTGTAGCCACTTATATAATTAGTCTAGATTTTTTAGTGATCATTTTTGTAATATGATTTAAATAAAAAAACTGGACGCACTTTTTAGATGTGCAGGTCGCACCTTTCTTTTTAGTAATATTAATTTGTTTGTTGGTACCATATCTATAAAATTACGAAGTATTTATTTTTTATATTATCTATGGGAAACCCATTTATTTTCAGGACTTTTTTATGTATAATCGCTACTTCATTCATTTAAAAAATTTTTCAAATAAATAATAGTTTTTTCAATAGAAAGACTTATTTGGCTTCGTAACTTTCTTCTTTGAAACTTAACCTTAATGTGTGTAAAATTAAGATTTATAATGACCAGTATTAAGGGCTGTACATCTAATTAAATTTTTATAGTCTTTGAAATTTGCAATCAAAGAACATATCAATTGACTTTGTTTCACCAAAAATCTTCATTAAATTTTATTTAGTACCATATATTGTTTTGGTTTAGTTTTCACGGTTATATGATCCGTATGGTTTGAATAACATATATTTACGGCACATATTTATTATCTGCAGTTCAAAATAACCATGAAACTCCGAACTTAACACGCTGGATTCATACAATACTAACACTATGCGCACGCATAATTGCACGCATGTATGGCTTCATGCGCATGGTGCCCATCTCTATTTGGGACAGCCCAGATAATGTGATAAATAGCTTGACACACTTTTAGCAATAAGACATTAGGATATAAATATCAACGTGACGTTAATTATCACGTAGTTAGGGTTGCCTCAAATTTATAAATGAAATTCGGCTTACCACATTTATCAATAAAAACTATGCAAATCTAATAGATCATAAACAAAATGTAACACTTAAATCAATTAAACGCACTTATTAAAGCGACTTCTCTTTAGAATTACAATTTTGGATTGTAGAAAGCACTCAATTTAACTTTGATTCGAATAACTGCACATAAATTTGAATAAAATCACACGGATTAATAATTCAGACGGAACAAAGTACACCTGAAGTCTGTGTTAGCAAATTCTAAATTTTGATTAGCTAGATCAATGAAAAGTAACAAAAAAAAACAATCAAAACAATCGATAACCGATGCTTATTGGTTAGATCAGTTGTAACGTCAATTATAATAATTGGTCCTTCGGACTTTGGTATGGTTTCCATTTTCCTAGCTAATTAGGAAAACAGGAATTGTTGCAAGTCCAGAGCGATAAAAAAGATCGATATTGTAACGACAAATCCAACATATTGGTTTTATTATATTAATTAATCACGTGGTCGTACAGACAAATAAAACACTTAAATTAATGAGTGTACATTATTAATTTAAAGATTCAATTACTTTCTTATTAGAATTTACAAATTTGGATTTGTCAATAAAAACCATTCGGATTTAACGTATATATCTAAATGTATTGTGGCGGGACCATATGCAAAAATTGAGTCATTCGTGCATTTAGAGAGGTACTGCGATATGGAATTCCGTGAAGCTATCCTAATAAAGTAAAAATTCTATATGTGTCATATTAGTTGGGCCCAAGG